GTGGCTGCTTTCTGGGGTAAGTAAAACCAAGTGTATCCGATTCTTCATCACCCAACGGGGTATAATCCAAAGTGGTGGACGCTAGATGTCTATGGTGCGGCTTCTCTAACACATTCTCAGATCACCGAGCTGATGGCAATAATGGTGTGTTTCACGAGGTGAAGTTTACCCCTGTTCTGGATTGTGTGCTGCCTTGCGGCCGAGGTATTGGTAGCATCGTCCATATATTTTATATGTATTCAACACGGCCAATAATACAATTGACATGGTGCCACATCGTATGGAAAATACAATAAACATACGAAGATAGAGGAAAAGAAAAAGCGGTGTTCATGGGAATAGTGAGTCACAACAAGTCCGCACTTGTGCACGATTTCCAGCCATGTGTGTTCCGGATCATCCACACTCCAGCCAGGGAGCCTAGAGCGCTCAACTACGGCTAACATGGACGGCTACTTCATACTCCTGGCCTAAGTCATACGTTGGACACCTTGCTTTCGCTTCCAGCCGACTTCTGCGTGCGCGAAGTGGGCACGGCGATGTAAGCGATGAGTAGGCATGCGGAGAGCATTCCCAAACCGCTGAAGTCTGAGCAGGGAAATTATACTTATCAGTAGCCGGCAAAGTTCGTCTGATCTGAAAATCCTTCGTCGGATATCTTCATTCCTAGTGTGATGTTGCCATCGTACATCAGCAATGCTTCGGAGGCAACGGCGATCAAAAACAGACAGCCCCTCAACAGCCTTTGCGCGAGCAGGCCAGCTCTCGCAGCCATAGAGGAGATCCGCTCTCACTGTGGCATTGTAAACTCGGCCCTTCAGAGGTAGACTCAGATCACTTCGACGCCAGAGATGGCGGAGGTTGGCAAAAGCAACCCGAGCCTTGGAGACGCGCCAAGAGACCTCGTACGTTAACCCACTTGCGCTGAGGCAGCTTTCGAGGGAAACAAACTTGTCCACCACTTCCAGTGAATGGCCTAGTAGGGTGTTAAAAGCAACACCTATCCAGTCCTGCAGAAAAACCTTGCATTTCGATGGTGTGAAGATCATTCCAAACTGGGAGACAGACATCTCCAACGTACACAGGACATTTTGGGCGGCCTGTGAGGAAGCGCAGATTACGACGATGTCGTCTGCATATTCCAAATCCCGAAGTCGGTCCCCCGGAAGCAGCGTCGTCCATCTCTACATTCGCATGCCCCCACCTACAAACAGCGATGATGCCCGCTGGTGTTTTGCATTGAACCGCAGGATTTCTTCGGCAAATCGTGGTGACATTTACAGAAGCTATCAATGAATCGATGCTATTGCGGAGAGTATATAGATTTTTATTTATTTATATTGGTCAATTGCGGTACAGTTGGCGAAGTAATACGACGCATGGATCAATACAATACATTGGAGGGAGAGAAATCTGTAGTACTGCACTCAAGGTGGTTGAGTCCCCACAGCATATCTACCTTGGAGAATTTTGGACACAATTTTGTGGCATTTAAGTATCATTTCAACCCTTATTTACATTACACATGCCATGCTTAGGGGGGTCGTTGGCACGAAAACACGTAGGATTATGGTAGACAGGCAGGTACGATGGTTCCCGAGGTGGATCATATTCCACTACGGTTGGGTGAAGGTTCACGATGTCGACAGAGCCGAAGTCGTACATGTAACGCGTGCTCTGATGTAGCGTAACTTTCTCTGAGTGGTCAGCCTGTTCCCGATCGGTGTTGGCTGGTCGCACACACAAGCCAACTTTAGCACAAGTACCATGCACGCCAGATATACGCATAGTTGTGAACAAACCGTATCTCTTGTGATGGGACCACTCTTCTGGCCTAATGCGACCACAAAACTGTGCCCCGTTAACGGATCTTCAGCCCCAGTGCTCCAGGCGACCCTATCGAACACGTAGACGCCTTGTCGAAGCTCACATCAGGCACCCCCTAGCCTAAAATATGCATGCTTAATATCATGACGCTCTGCGGTCGGCAATTCAATCTTGAGTTAAATGACGCGGTGCAGCTTAACCTTCCCCGATAGTCACATTTCAATGAAGCTTTCTCTATCAAGGTGTGATTGGCGTCCAAACGGCACGGGCTTAATTAGCTTAAGGGCATCATTCTAAATATCGTGCACAGTGCCAGATAATACGTGGAATTTACCCTATCAACAGACATTATGTACCTGATACTAAGTGTCCTTTAGTTATACTTCGTCGCTAGACCAGATGAATCCATTGAAACATTTTCACTTCAATGCGATGATTTTTGACCAGATTTCTTCCATCCTCATCTGTCTGTACTTCCAACCTCACTACAGTCTATTTCATTCTACCGTCTAGCCACTTTTTCCTATCGACCAATTAAGTGCGTTTAACATGCATGACCTTTGCTTCGTCGAATGGCACATATGAAAATTTGTCATGGAACCACACAAGTTGGTTTTCATTTCCAAATTCTCGATTTGCGCAGTCTTGCACTAGCATGACCCTGGAGTCCGAAACAGTGCCTGATAATGCTTCCACGTGTTCGTCGGTAACAGTCCATTTTCCAGTCCCTAACAGTCAGCAAGAAAACAAAAAGCATCTTGGCTAAACACAATCTCGTGTTCCTATGACCTCAATAGTACGTTTCTGGTTAAAACTGATTTTAGTGGTACTTGTTAATTTGTATCGTTACCTAATACTTCGGAACCATTACGTTCTCAATGCATCGCTCTGGCACATACGAATGTTGCTCCAGTCCACGTGGAAGTCAACGGGAAATCTGATCAAGTCTGCGTTTGTTTTGCTACTCACGCATAAAAATCAAACATATATCTCAAGGAATTCAGATGTATTCGAAACGAATCGGATGGACGAACATACCTCCAAGCGTAGTATGTGGTTTCGATCCTTTGACTCTAGCAGATGAAACGGCTCCGACTAAAAGCTTTGAAGACTCATTCAATGGGTGACTTTGATTACTTCCCTTCCTTTTTACCCATCCATCCTGTTATGACAGAACTACGTTTTACAGTGTCAACGTTTCTTCGGTAGATAGTCAACACGTGTGTCTCGGATCTCGCAGAAAGGGAGATATTGAAAACGGTTAAGGCCTTCGATACAACTCATGAGCTGAAGTTCAAGTACTTGAGTTTTTCACTTTGAGCGCCTACGCAATTGATATCTAATTCTTCCAGGATGTCATGCTGAAATAATCAGGTGACCTATTTTTCACTGGTACTTGTCCATCAAGAGGAAAATGGCGTGATGAGGGGGAGGTGCAATGGATGGGATATCTAAGGGGGCATTACAATATGAACAGTATGCATCCTCGTTTGTGCGGAAGTGCCGGCGTACATCTGGTACCCTACTAATCAGTTAATGTGTGAGCGGAAGGTCGAACCGGTTGCCGCACATATCAGGTAGTGGGTGAAGTTAGAGCATGGTGCAGAAAGAGTGTGTGCATACAACTTCACAGTTCCGACTCTCCGTACAGTTCCGTGGCAAATTGGGTATAATCCAAAGCTTCATCACCAGGAGCTCCGGGACTAGTGTACGCTTTCATCCTGTTGATACAGTAGTCTGCTTCTTCTGGAGGGAGTTCACGGCGCAGCTGTTCCGCTGTGATGTACGGCTGAAAGGATGATGAATACAACAGATATATGAAACAAGTACTAATTAGTAAACGGAATCGACTAGATAGAGAACGTTAAGCCTACTGTTGCTCACGCTCACCATTGTAATTGGTTGCTTTGCACTGAACTTGACCCGAATCTTCTGACCAGATCGGTTTCGCTCGAAATCGAAAACTGTTTATAAACACACTGATACGATAAATGACAGATATGGCCAACCTGTGACCTGAGTTTAGCTCATTTTCATGTGCCTTCATTATTGGGGCAATTCGTACTATTTGGCTGAAAAATGTGGATAGTTGCTAGGATTCACAAACATTGAATGGAACGAAAGCTGTGTGTACAACACTGTACAGCTGACATGGTTGGCGGCATCCGGTTTCGAAATGATCTGTCACTGTGGTCAGCTACAGGACGCCTGCGCCTACAGAGGGACCACGGGTGGCTTGCGCTGCACCACCCACAGCTCCAACAAAACACCCCATATCCAGTGTAAACCCGAAGGAATAAGACCAGGAGGCATGCGGATGGGAGCCACGTTTCATCAACGGAGCCGGCCCACACTCCTTCACAGACAAACACAAGCACACTGTATTTGGGGAATCAAGCGCACACAAGGCGGTGGCTGGACCGTAGTCCGCTCCACACTGAATGCATGGAACCACTCTTTGATCCTAACACGGCCACAAGGACCGTGCACCCCGTCCTCTCTAGCAACGACCAACTGTCTCCTGGAGCCAGTATGGACGAGGTAGTGGGTAATAGACAAGTAGGCACCTTGTCAACATGCACATCAAGCGCAGCCACACCTGGGATGTCAAACAACAGCCAATCATTCGAAATGCCGATATCGATTAAAGTAAACGCATATGACGACATAAATACTCGCTAAATTAGCATATAGCAGAAATTGGTTATAAGTGAATCCGTGATAAGTACAAAATGTGCGAAAGTTGTTTAAAATATACCACGCGATAAAATTACGCAACTTTACCACAAGTTGCGTGAGCGACGTGTGCAAGTAAGGAGAAGATTATCAAGTACGCAGAGCAAACCAAATAACATATAACGAATTTTATCCACATTAAAAAGACCTAGTTCAAGTGCAAGTTGGTTTAGCCCCAACTGCGGTGAAGAAGCATCATGAATGCAACATCAGCCTCAGCAATGGGCACACAGCTGACATAAAAACCTTAGAATCTACACCCAACAGCTAATCGGGTGACAGGAGTTTTTCAGTGTTATCGGTACGCAGCATCTCTCCGATCAACAATAAATGCACAGCGAACGGTGCACAAAGTAGAAGAGGGATTATTTTGGAAACTGTCGGCTTACGTATGGTCGCGAATGTTGACGATCCATGAAGTACTGTTTTCCATTGATTTTGTCAAATACGAACATGTTATTATCGTGCACTTCAGCTACGGATTCCTGTCCAAAAATTGATACAGTCATTATTATTCACAGATATCTCGCTTAGGTGCATAGCCTTCGCGTGTCGTGGTTTCAGGAGAACAATCGAAATCCCATGAATGGAACTCATGGCGCTTGAATGCACTCGTGCGATCGAATAGAGAAGAAGAATCCGGTTGTTCGCATGTACCTGCTAGTTGATACGGGGTGCACCTATTTTTCGTCAGTCTCACAGTGCAACTTATCTGGCTGTGGTGGTTTCAATACTCTCCGCCTACCACGTCTGACGTCTACTTTACTGCACTTCACATTTCAGCGACAGGAAAAGCATTTGGTTCCAGTTTTGGACATCTCTCAACGCGCTCACATGTTGATCGAATCACCAGATAGGATGAGGGCGCCCTGCCTGCAGCCTTAGCACGCCGTTCGGTGCAATTAAGCGGATATCCAGTTGGGAAGAGCAAATGAGAGTCCATGGCGAATGTGTTACGATAGACAGTTACCAGACAGCAGAACGATTACCAGTGAACTATAGTCACTGTTGGCCTCGAAATGTGTGCGACGATGCACCCATGAACTGCTGCGTTTTATTCCTCTTCATTTCCGCAGCTGACCGGTTGGTGAGCACCATATCCATAGTTGAATGCTTTTTTCACCAGTCTTGCAGACAGAACATGTCGATACGCTATGCGTACGCAGATCACACGCTAGCTTTGCGGACGCGATTAGTGCCGAAGACTTCGTGCTGCTTGTCTCTAAAGGATAGTTGGCGTTGTCAGGTAAAACAGTTACTGACTTATGGAAATTTCTCGCATTGCATCGCCTAACGCTGTAATAGTAACTTGTCACTTGTGTAATTCCTCGGACTTTCCCTTAACGTGAGTGGAGCGCGCATGGCAGCACAGGTACTATGTGGGCCATACTTGAGAGACCACTGAACCATAGTGAGAATCAAGCTGCAGGCTAACGTGCCCGGTAGAAAAACGTGAGACAGGGCTTGCAAGACACTCAGGAAGAGAATTGCGGGACCGCCACAATCGATAACGTTATTGATCGATATTCCCAGCCTTCTAATAAATCGGACGCCCTTCTGACACGCTGAATTGGCCAGTCAGTAATGATTACTTAAGGGACAATGTACGAGAGCTGGTCAGGGAGCCAATGTGCTAAACCTTTCGAGCAGTAATGTACAATACCTACCAGCCAATTGCGATTCCACACACGGGCAGTTGATGGTGTCGTTGCACAGAAGTCCTGGTATAGATGAACGAATCATGGAGATGCTTGTCCCTATTCCACCGAGGTCTAAGCAAGTGAATCGACAGATCACTCCCGGTGGTGGCTGGATGGTATCTTGTACTAAGTTTGACTGGTTCACTCCCAAGTCATTGTGTTGAACTCGAATGATTGAGGCAACTACCATAGTACATACACGTCGCTAGGCGCCAACCTATTCGATGATGCTACCACAGAGTCCATACCATTCACACACTCCAACTTTGTCACCCCACTCCGTTGCCTACCGGCACTTACCTTCCAGAAAAGAAGCCAAAGCATAGCATTTATATCGCAGATGAAGGCGGTATTGATGCGAAACACTTGCTACAAACAATGGCCTCGAAGATCAAAATTTCAGGGATGAAAGATATGTCTGTCGCACCCTTCATCCAGTAATAATGCCACGGATGTGAGTAATCGTCCGGTTCAATGAATAGCAAGTAGTAATGGCGAATCTGTTCCAAAAATAGAGTGGAGGCTTCTTCTACCAACATCATCACCAGCATCATTTCTACGAATAGTCCTTATGACGCTCACTGTCACCATTATCCAGCACCACTTGGACGATCGATATTTTGACCCATTATTCCTCGCCCTTAAACTTATATCGTTACTGCTCAGGATGTGTGAAAATGGAACTACCTGTTTCAAAGTTCACAGGTGAAAACATGGTTATCTCAAACCATGTGCCATTACCTCACTAAACATGTTTTTGATGGCTGCAGTGATGTCGGGAGAGGATGATGTGGAATTTCGTTTGAAGTATCTTGGTTTTCATCTGAGTCTCCATTCAGCGAATGCGAACACCCCCGCACACTTCGTCACTCGTTCGCAAAGGTATCCGAATACACCTGAAGCAACTGGTCTACCTTTGTGTGTGTATGTATGTGTGTGTGTGTGTGAAGCAACTTACGAGTAACACTAAAGTGTTCCGTACGCCTGTATCATACTGCTCGTTTCGACTATGTCATTTCAACGTCCGGGGGCGTATTTCCTCATGACTTTCTGTATTACCACTGTGAAATGGTATTGTTGATTGTTGGCTATGTACAGTCCACTCCGGGTGAATAACGTGCTCCACACAAACCTTAGCAACTACGCACAAGTATCCACACTACACCATTCCGACTTGGAACACGAAGTCATTGGGTAGTTTTTCATGTACACTGGGCATTCCTAGTACATTTCATTTCCCATACTCTTCTTTCCATCATTTCATCGCACCTATTTCCCATGGCGGGGGAATGTGAGTGCGGCTTGCTTCCATGTCTAGAAACTGAACCCCATGTAGCTCAGTGGTGTCAACACCACGGTGACGCAAACGACTGTGAATCGCAGGCTACTGCAGCGAGGACCATTTGCACAACTTTGTAAACTCAACCCTATTGACCTTCTGTGTCGCGAAATGGTGCATAGCGGTAAACTGTTAGACACAGAGACAGCTGCTACGCTAATAACATCCAACATTTTTTCCACCACTCGGCACACCGGGTACAAGTGCTGGTGTTACCCGGAGATGACCAATGGATAATATACCGAAAGCATGAGAAACCCAGGAAGGCTTGAGAGGGTTAGTGTATGCGGCCTTCCCGCACTGTGGCCTTGGGATCTGCAGTACTATAGAGTGGATATCCGTTTGTAATTGGCTCAGTTATAAGGGCAGCAGAGCTCCTGCAGTTGATCTCCCATTTGTGTCCCATCATCACTGGCAACGTTATGCGTATTTCTTTCGAATTCATTTTGAACTCTCAGGCGGTTTGAGTCAAAGCAATTGCCCATCTCCCGTTCTTCAATGCATAAAACACATTGGGCTAAGTCGACTGTGGTGTCAATCTGACATAGAGTGACAAACTTTACACGAACTCAGGGAACGGGCGTGCAGCTGAAATCATATAACTGTGGTCCTAAAACCTCTGTGACCTCGTTTGAGGGCTAACAACAAAGTACACTTCGATTGTTCGCCACCGAAACACTCATACATTTTCATTGGACTTCAAGTCATCAATGGAGTAGACGGAACAAGCGAAGTTGCTCTAACTGGCAACTATCAGCTGGCATTACGCTAGATGGCTACCGATTGTTGCTTCAGTTCGTTCTCAGTTTCATGCACATTTGGTGTTAGACGCGTGTGTTTACCGTTTTCTCACTGGAGTAGCAAACTAGCTCTGGGAAACTGAACAAGTTCCACGTGTATGTGCTGATCACTCAGTGTTAGTGATCCGTCAATTTCCAAAGTATGCATAAAGGTGTTTTTTTCTTTCGCACAATTGATGCGCGCTTTGGCTTTTGTCAGAATAAAAGTACGCAG